TAGCAATTACGGAAGTGTATGAAAGACACTGACAATATAGGGGCACTGTGATCTTCTACAGATCTTTGTAAGAGATCAAGTTGGTCACAACCTGAAATTCAAGGAAGAGTGACCCAGCAGCCAGAGATTAAAAGCCTTTTATATGCTCAAGGTTCATACTTGCAATTAGTAAACAAAAGAGCAATTTTCATACAGTTCTTCCTAATGAGGAATATCACTGGGAAAAATCTTACATTTTTTTCTAGAGTATTTTTGCTTTTCTGAATATTTCTAAAACATCTGACATATAGGTTCTTAAGAGAATGTGAAGGGTTTTTTTTTTACTGAAAAAGTAAAAAAAAACTTGGTATTGAAGTACACAATACCTAGAAAAAGCAAGATAGAGCAATGATGAACTGTTCATCCCACAGCCTTATGCCTACACATTACCTTGTAAACATTTGTGGTTTTTCCCTTGTCTTCAGGTTATTGACCATTTTTGCACAATGGTTTGAGTCATTACATCTAATCACATCATCAGTGTGAATTCAAGTAGCTACTAAATGAGTATATTTAATTACCTATGATTTATTGAGTTGCAAAGCATGACAGACTCTAGATAATAAACAGGCTCAGCAATGCATCTTGTTAAGGAAACTTTCCTGTCTGACCACCCAGGAGCAATTCCAGGAGTCACACTCTCAACATCTGGAACTTTAACTGCTGAGATTGAAGTCCCTTTACAACAGGGCAGCTCCTGTGAAGCAAGAGGGGCTCCACTTGACTCCCTACATACCCCCCCACTCTAGTCTCAGACAGTTCCTTAACAGTTTGGAACACATCTGACAAATGCCTTTTCTTTTCTGAAAGTAGGAAGTCTGAAAATAAGGTAGTAGTGGAGTAGTAGTGCAGTAGTGAAGATGTAGAAAGGAAACAGATTTCTGCAACAGCAGCAATTTAGGGAGATGTACAAAACAGGAGACATGAACACCTTTCTCTCTACTGTCTGTATAGACTTCTGTGAAATGAAATACCTAAACAGATTTAAAACAAAATCAAAACACAACAAAAATAAACAAACAAAACTAGACCAAAAAAAAAAACAACAAAAAAAAATTAAAAAAAAACCAAAGAAAACCCTCTATAAAATCCTAAATATATTGAATGAGGAACAAGTACCCCCCATGCATGAGGCATATTCCATCTTAAGCTTTATCACTGCCCTTTAATAACATCTGTTCTTTGCTATCCTTCCAAAACCAGCTTCCTGTCATTCTTTCCAGCTTGTTATGCTCAGTCACAGTTGGAGAATAAAAAAAATAAAAATCAAAAAATAACAGGAAATGCCTTATAAATATTTTTGTTTTAATAGAAGCATGAATGTAATTTCTATGCCCTCCATAAAGCTCTCCTACATAAAGACACCGTAGAGAAACTGTGTTTTCACCCATATAAGTATAGTGTTAAGACCTGAGGAACATTATTCTTTGTATGTGTTATTCACTGTGGGTTTTGAATATCAAGAGAAATTTGAGTGCAGCAATCCCTAAAGACTCGAACACTATCTATTTTGGAGCATGAAGTCACAGTGCCTCATTTCATTTTGTATTGCCCTTCTTCAAGACAACGACCTGTGGAAGATCAGATTTCTTACATATATATATTATAGTCTTATACATATACATTGTTGCTGTTGCATATCATGACATGAGCTTCTCTTTGACTGAAGATTAGCTCAGTCAAGCTCAGATGTAAGCTTGAATGACTAAGTACAGTATGCAGTGCCACTGATTTTTTTTCCCATGTTATAAAACAAGCCTTTTCTGATAATTAGACTAGCCTACCTTGTTTGAAAAGCTATAAAAACAATGATACAACCAGCTACTTTGCTTGCTAGACTCAAAATCAATCACATTTTTCTATTTTCAAACTTCTACTTCAAGAATATTTAAATATTCTTCTGCTTACACCATTTACAACTCCATTCTATCATTTTCTTGGTTCTGAGTTTTCTGAATGTCAAAAATCAGCCATCAAATTGTCATATTTTCAGTCCTAAATCAAGAAAAATTTATAATATTAATCTGGAGACAGAAACTGTAGTTGTTCCTAATGGTTTTGTGCAATCCACTCCTTTCCAGAGGAACCATAGAGTGAATTTTCCTTATATTGCATCACTCAAGTGCAGTTATAAACACAGTTACCTATATTTCAACAATTCTGAAGGAAAAATAATAGTAATATTGAGATATATAATAAAGTTTCCCCACATTTAAATCAATACTGAATAGTTCTGCTTTAGTAACATGATACAGTCACAGAATTATTTAGGTTGGAAAAGATCCAGTCTTTCAAATTATTCATAACAAGATTATACATTGTCAGCCTGAATTTGAAGAAATAATTGGCATATAGAACTATATGTTCTTGCCTTGTATTATAAGGAATATTATAGAGAATCCAGTTTCTTCATTTAAGTATAAATAGATCATGCTTAAACTTAGGTACCTTACACCAAATAATTTGTTACTAATGTGTTCCATCAGTTCGACAAAAAGTTCTTGACTACGTATTTTCCTGGTTATTATGGGGAGGAAAGTGTTAAAACTGGAAGACTAGGGAGGAGAAAGCCTTGTTTTCAGAATTGTTTTTGCTCTAGATGACCTTACAACTGGGGGACTGCTAAGAATAATCAGTCTGGGAAAATTCACTGCTTCTGTCTGTCTTGAGAAGTCATGTAACAGAATGCTGTAAAAGACATAAGAAGCGTCGTTCATAGGCGCATTAAGAGGGGAAAGGAGATAAGAAGCTTGGAGATCATAAAACACAGCCATGTGAAGAACTGTGCCTGTGCCAGACCTCTCTGGTACGTGAGCCAGGAAACAGCCTGAGAGCTTTTTGCCCCTGCTAAGATGACATAAGCTTAGCTATGCATGTGTCCCTGTTTTGCCAGCAAAATTATGGAATAAATCTTTTCTTCACACTTCAGCTGTGCACCATGGCCATCTTGGTGTTACCTGTATGTATCCGGTTCACACAATACTTCCCAGTCAACACAATATATAGTGATACAAAAATGTATCAGCCCAGAATTTAAATAAAACATTAAAAGATTAGATTCAGAAAAACTATCACAGTACAATAATACAGTTCTGCCACTTAATACTTTGCATATTACCAATAATGAAGTGCATTCAAATGTGAATTGATTTCCCTTTCTAATTCTCTAGACAAAGGTATGAAAGTAAATCTGCTGATGAAAAGGAATTTCAAACCTTAATAGATCAACCAGAGAAGAAAAAGTCTCACTCAGGGCATATTTCTTGATTTTATCCAAAATGTACACAAATTACATCTTTTATACCTCTAGCATAATTTATGTTTTGATATAATTTAATTAATATCATTATACCATACTTAATATCACATCTGATATCATTGTTTTTGTATCATTTTTTTAAACTCCAGCTATGGATAACCTACCAAATTAAATCAAAAACTCCACCATTTGCACTCAACTTGCCATTACACAGTTTTGGGTATTTTTATGCATAAGTTCATATATACAAACATTAATATATTCAGAGAGACAATGATTCAAGATTACCTGAATCTGAAATGCCTATATTTTGGTATTTGTTGAAAACTGATGGCTTTACTTGATGAAATTAAGTAAAAACTTTTTCATCACTACATGAATAGGTGAGAAGGTAGTACAGAAGGGTATGCATATATAAATACAAAAAATGCAGGTATATTTATGTGTAACTATTTCAGTATACACAAATGCTCATCATTGCAAACTAGAGATGTGTGCATCAGCAATCAAACACACATAGCCAGATTCCTTGGGCTCTCGCAGTAAACATTCAGCTTTGTGAATTAGTAGAAAACTGACAAAACATGAACAGTTGAGTTGACTCAGCTCTTATAGACACATAGAAACAAAGCTAAAATAAGTTATTTGAGGAATATTAGGCATAAACTTTCTGGTAGAACTATGAAAAGGGGAAAAATAAAGAAAAACAAAACAGATTTTGCTTTCAATCCAGGTATAGCATTCATGTGCAACAATATAGCACATACACTTGTCAGCAGAGGAAAGTACATAGTAAAAGGTACCAGTCATGAAGGCTCACAAGTCAAGATTAAAGTTTCTTTTATGAAGCCAAGAACATTGTTTCAGATAAAACTCATTACAAGAGGCACAGGTTCTTTAAGATCTGTGACAAAGGATGACCAGGCAAAATGATGCTAAGTTGCTATTATTTCTTTTGTCTGTTATTCACAGTTACTTAACCTTTGGATATTTTTCAGTTGGGACAATGACAACTCATAACAGTATTAAGTTACTGAAATATTCACTTCAATATTAATAGTTGATAACACAAAAGTCACTTCTATAAAACATTGGTTGGACATAAATTACAATTTTTGGTGAGCTAAATTTTAATCATGAAGTATCTAAATACATCATAGAGAGAATTAAAACTGAAGCAAAGACTACAGTCTAGTGTTGTGAGATCCTAAATTTAAGAAATGATTATACAAAATGGGTTGCAGGGTTTTTTGGGGTTTTTTTCTGGATTCCCTTTCACTTTTCTTTTTTTAATCATCAATAATTGTTTGCAATTTCTTAATAAAATCATCAGCTAGGGATTAATACATCTATGGTAAAAGCTGTTCCAAGTAACTCAAGATGATGAGGGATATTGCATTTCATAAATGAAACACTGTGCACTATGCGTTAGTAAGGAAAGGATATTGTCCAGTGATCAAGTCTTCAGTCTTATAGGTCAGAAATTCACAGACTGATTACAGTCTTTCAAAACATACATGTGTAACATAAGGTTTATCTACAGCATGAGAAAACATTATTAACAGAAGTAATAGTTCAAAAGATATCACAGTGATATGGCCTTCAGCTGATTAGCTAACTAAAAACATGGTTGTTACCACATTTTTAATTACTTAACATTTTATCTTATTGCTATTACTAATTTCTAAAATGTGTGACATACCTTCATATGCTGGCTACACCTGTCCACAAACTTCTGCAAGCAAAAATAATATTCTTGGACTAGAAGAGGTATGGTGAACATACTCAACAAACCCAAGGAATTGATGAAACTGGTGAGGATGGAAAGAGAGAGATAGGTGGTGGATGAGAGAAGAAAAAACAGGTCTTGTAACTGATTACAGATAAACGTTAGGAAGCCCAAAATTCTTAACACCACAAGAATTTTCAATTTTTCAAGTGTAATATTGGTTATGAAACAAGCAAGATACAAAATAAAACTGATTTGTCTCATTTAAATGATATATTAAATGTCAGCCTTAAGATCAACATCATTATGCTATTTTCACATACCAATTACCCTCAATATAATCATACACATTTATGCATTTAAAAACACAGTGCCATGCTTAACATTTATTTCATTAATATAGTCTTTGAATTTGCAACTGCTGGTGTTTTGTGGTGAGTCTTTAAAATTTTCTTCTTAACAGTTCTGGTATATGGACTGGACAGTAAAAAACTATCATAAAAGAGTGTGATTTCCAGAATGTCAACTCTTGATATAAATATCCATAATTACATTTGCTGCACAAAACTTATTCCTAAGGCTTATGCAGAAATGCACATGCCCTCCCACTCACTGCAAATTCAAAGTGGTATTTGATGGATCTGTTCAATCAAAATCATAGTTTTATGCTGCTTTTTATGTTTCCTCAGCCCAGATGATTAGCAGCCATTTCCGCTCCTATACATAAGTTTGAGTAACAGGATAAACACCACAAGAACACCTGCATAATAAAACTGAATGAGCTGCCTCCGAGCCATAGCTGTGGGGACCACAGGTGTGCAAAACACAAAGGGTGTTCCAGCCATGCTGTTCCCAAAGCAAGCTAACAATGTTCAAAGGCAAATGTTAGCAGCTATTCAAAATTGATTTCATCATATCACTTTATTTAAGGGTTTTGTGATATCTGTGATAAATAATTTCTAATAATACTTAATAAGTATACAAAATCTGGCAAAACACTGCCTTGATACATCTTGGTTGTAACATATCAACTACAAGAATTCAGCTCCCTGGTGGCAATATTGTTTTGTTTTACAGTCTTCATAAATCAATTTCTCATAAAAATCTGAACTGCTAGTTAAAAAACAGTTTGTGTATTTAAGTATTTCTGAATTTATCCATTGCCTCTCTAAAAATGTTAAGAGTATATCAAAGGACTTCAGCTTTTCCTAAATATATACAATGCTTTTTAGACAAAATGAAATAGATGTTTCATTTAATGACAATGAATGATTTTTGCTGTCAATTGATGGCAAACTGGTGTTTGTTTCTATACATGTCAGGCATTGCCTGACAATAGACATGCTGAGTACAGATTTACCTGGCACAGTAGAGGAGCATTTTGCAGCACAAACCACTGCCTTCCCCACTGTTCAACTCCCGGAGCACCAAGAGTATTTGGGTTTCAGGGGAGCTTCAGAACCCAAATACTTTCAGAGCTAGGACATGCTGCTGGCAGTAGGGGTAGACAAAGGTCATGGCTTAAAAACTTTGCACCTAAAAGTGCACCAAGCCAAACGGTCTGGGTACTTAACCCTAGCTTGGTTTGTACTCTCGGCCTAGAGAACGCATTTCTCTCACCCGAGCTGCAGTGGAACAACCTGCTGCTCTGAGATTAAGATACCTTCTAGCTTCTCTCTACAGAGTTGCAACAGAATGCAGAAATCAAGTCTTTAAGATATGGGGAAATTCAGCTATTAGTAGCCATTCTCATTAGAAATGTAGAAATTCCTTTTTGTATTATAGCTTCTCCCTTTTAACATACTATACTGATGATCCTCAAACAACTCAGGACAAACACTAGTTCTTGTTAAGAGTCATCACATAGGACACTGATTTCAGCTCACTGCAGACCAGCAGACCATTACATCTATACTTACTCTGGTTTTGAGATCCAACTTCACTAATCCCTGTGATGCTGCAGTAGTAAGTTAGAATTAACTGTTCTGAACTACCAGAAAATTAGCTCTCTAGGATATTTTCTATGAAAATTAAGCAATAATGAATGGAGAGACATGGGCTATATTTCAGAAATGCAAATGGGCTGGCTAAGTCCTTTCTACCAATGGTGTTACAATAAATAACACAGCTTTGTACTCATGCCTTCTTGAGAAAACAGAGAAAAATGTAAATAATGCAATTTCCATCTGGAAAAGAAAATGTTGCAGTATGCTTTGTGCTATAAAAGAGTGAAGTCTGCAATCAATAGAAAAAAAAAGCTGTTCTTGATGGGCAGATGGTTGTTCAACACAGCTCCTGGACTTGGAGGAACAGTTTTGTCACTCCATTTAAAGTGGGAGAAGAAGAGTGAGAGAGAAATTTTATGTTTCCTGGCCAGCTAGGACACAAAGAAGTAAGACGATGACTAACAAAAATCTGAGCCCTATGCATAAGCAAACAGAATAACAAAAAATTATTTTATTCATAGAAAAATCAAAATTTAGAACTTTTCACTAAAGGAATTACACTTAAAAACAGTGTAAGTCCTTAAGTATGTCATGGCATTACACCTCCTCTCAAATAATCAGATTAAAAGAAATTAGGGGCCAAAAACATTTGTAATAATTAGACAAGTGAGTGGCTTATGAAATCCACAGATTAAAATGTTTAAATGTTAAGATGACCACAGTCCACCTTTTCCTCATACATCAAAATAAACATCACGGTTATGTAGCCAACCAGTAAGTGCCACCTAGTCACTTGCTTTACAGTCATTTTCTCTTCCCCAACCACTAAGAAAAAACCTACCTGATGCTGGACCCTGGCCACCTCAAATCCATCCTCCTCCTCTCTAAAGCAGTCTTTACAAATAGACTTTCATCAAAGCAAAGACCCGTGTCATTCATTTGACTGAAACCTCCCACTGATGTTCAGCTTAGGCTTCACAAAGTGAGAAGCTGTGAAGCCTTAGCTAAGAATATTGATGGGTTATGTCACTCCTTCAGGGGATGAAAAACAACTTTCCTGCTTCTGGCCTGCAAACAGTCAGGGCTTCCTCCTCCCCACTTTGCTCAAGCTGGCTAAACCTTCACTGTGACCACACATAACAGATTATGTTACAGGAGAGTATCATGGCAATGCAAAAAACAGCTCTCCTCCCACCCTACAGTAAACTGTTCCCTAAAGAACTGTTCTAAGAAATTATGGAATCACCTAAATTGAAACTACTCACAAAAGTAAACTCCTCTATACTTCTCTCTGTCTACCCACACTTATAAAATAGCGTTAGGAATCCGTGCTCTCCTTTCCTTGTCTCCATTATTTCTGTTTCAGAATCCGTTCTTGTCTCCATTTTATTTCTATGTAGCTTACAAAAAGAGCAAACATGCATTTGAAAGCAAAATACCTGTAACTACAGATGTCACCCATGACAGCAAGTAAAAACATATCTTTTCTGACTGTAACCTATATTCACCTACTCCTGTCACATGCCACTCAGTAGTGGTGCCATCAAATATTTCCAGTCAGATGTCTCCTTCCTTTAAACAAAGCCACTATACTCTCTCAGATTATAGTTTAATGGCTTGTTGCCTTCTTTTTTTTTTTTAAATAACCATGGACATGGCCTTAAAAATGGCTTCACTTGTAACTTCTGAAGCAGCATTCTTAGAAACCTCTTTTTCCCTTGTATGCACTTCTGTACATTCTCCACAGCAGCTCACGATTACTAATAATAAAATCAAAATTGATTTTATGAAATTATCCCGCAATGTACAGAAATTTTATTATTTGTTTCAACTCTGCATATGTAATTGCATAAGACTACTGATTTTAAAACTTGTTTCTCAAAACTTGGCTGGCAAGATCTCAGCCATGAACCTACAGAAAATTAGCACTTCAAAAAGCAAGCTGAGGTAAGGAACAGTACATAGATATGGGGTTTTTTTTATATCTCCAAAAAAAGAAATTATTTTTGCAGAAGCTACACTTGGTAAAAACTCAAATACATGTCATGAGACAAAAGATTTAGTACAGTACCTTGCAGAAGTTGCTTCAGGTCTGAAAATAAGGTATTTAATTCTATCCCCCCACTGCCAAAAACTCATTCTTGGTTTGAAAGAATTGTAACATCATACTTTTCTAATACACACATTATTATTGATGCTTTAAGTTAGTTAAATAAACTGAAGATTATGAGCTTTTTAAGTTTTCAATTAATTTAAAAAAAAGCACAAATCAAATAATTTCTAAATCAAGGTTTCTTTGACATACTAATTTAACCAAAGTATCTCTGAGTGGATCCCTAATGATATGCTTTACCATTAAAAAAAAAAAAATCACTATAAATTTTAAGAATATTCCTCATATAACTTGAACTTTAAAACAGCAGTGCTATCCCTATATTCAGGAGACATGAAATGAGTGAAGGCTTACAAAACTAATTCAACGTTCTTGTTGGTAAAACCAAAATTAATTTAAGGCCATGAAATTCGTAAATCACTACTCATGGAATGCAAATAAACATCTCAGAAGTTTGAGCTATTCTCTGCCAGGAAAATACAGTAAATATGCAAAATACTTGCCAGTAGCACAGGATATTTTTAGTATTGTAACATACATGGTTGTTTATATGGACCAAAAAATGCAGTAGTCGATGTCCACCATTATTACAAAACTTTCACACATAAGTTTTACAGAGTTGATCTTTAATATTATACAGTGAATTTAAAGTATTGAACTGGCACCTGGCATCATAGAAACAGAAATGCAATACACAATAGCACAAAGAAATAAACCATAAAAACTCATTTGAGCTAATGATATTTCAAAGGTGGAATATTTATCCTCCGCGGTCTCTATGAATGGTTTGGTAATTTCTTTCTTAACTATTCCACATGAGCATAAACAGAGGCTCAATCAGCACCGTGCAGCACCTTGGTAAGGGAACAGTGCTTGTCTGTGAAGGGGGCTCAGTGGGACAGCTACCCCCGAGAGCACTGAGCTCTGCACGATGCTGAAAGGAACACAACTCACGGACATCTCAACAATGGGACTCTAGTTACTGCAAATTAAACAGCAGCTGCTCTTTCTTCTCTCACTATTATTAAAATAAGTAAAATATAGATACAATTTTAAAAAGCACCCAATCTCTGCCACTTGCTGAGCCCTGGTCTCGGCCGCTGCCCTGCTTTCAGGGATGCCTTGCCTGCTGCCCACAGAGGGCTGTGCAGCCTAGCGCCCCTTCCCACCCGCACACCAAGGCACCAGCAGCTCCAGCAGCGGCAGCGGGCAGGCCAGGAAGCATAGCAGCAGGAAACAGCCCAGGAGTGTGAACAGGCCTGGGAGAACAGGCCTGCTGTGCCCTGGCAGCCATTTACACGGAGCACAGTAACTCACCGGCTGTGCAAAGTACAGCCCCCGCAGCTCGCCTCCCTGGCTGACCTTCCTGCACGGAGAGCCCCTGTCCCTGGGGCGGGGGGCAGAGCAGGCAGAGCGCTAGGGAGGCCTTTAGTGGGGCTGGGAGGTGGGAGGGGAGAGGAGGGCGAGCTGCATCGGCCGGGCCTGGGCCCTGAGGCAGCGCAGTCGCCCCTCTTAGTGGGACCTACAAGAGCCACAGAGGCAGCAGCTCCCCAGGACGGGACAGTGAGCTGGATTGCCCCCTGTGGGAAGAGGTGTGGGCAGGCTGGGTCTTTCTGGAAATAGACTACAGGCATTTTCTCATGAAACACGAAGGGATTGGAGGAATTTTGTGGCTGGTGAGTGTCTGAGTTAACGGAGTAAAAGCTTACAGCAAAGGACTCGCTCCTGCAAGGACACAGGGAGAGAGGGAAAATGGGTTTGCAAACTTGTTTATTTTTATTCCATCTTACCCAGCAGATCTGAGGTTTTCCTATTTTACAGGTCACCTAGGTCTAATAAAAATAAGATTTGAAAATTATAAAGCCTCGGAGTTTTGGAAAGGACTAGGGCTTGGCTATTGTGTCTGTGAGATGATCACAAGCCCTACTTCCTCCATCGGTTTACTTAGCAAAATGGATTTGGGCAGAAAATCAATACAGCAGCAACAACTTTCAAAATTACTCAGTCTGATCTGAAAAAGCATGGACTCCCAGAAGGGACAAGCCCCAAAACATTATGTGCAATGTATTGTTCTAGGGAAACAAAACAAGCAGAGGAAAAAAAAAAATCAATAGTCTTTCAGCCACGTGTAATTTTGTATTATCGAATATGTGCAAATATTTGTGGCAAATGCTACTGTTTTCATAGCAGATTGGTCAGTTCAACGTGTTTGGAGCTGGTGGATTACAAAGTTCACTGTTTATTGCTGTAGGCTGTTGCCTCACTTTACAGATACTACTCAGCATTAATACAAATGGATTATGAGCCTTTTTCTACTGAGTCCTGCAGGGCATAATGCTCCCCAGGATATTACTACGTTTTGTGAATATGTTCCCCCTCTAGAGCTGAAATGGAAAGAAATTTAGAGAGACCATACTTCTAACTTGGACTATCTCAACATGTCTGCAGCTTTGGAAGACTCAATGTTAAATCTGTTATGCAGTCACAGGGCTGGTTACATGAAAAAGCAGATGTGCTATAGGGAGTCTCCTCACCCTGGTGAATGTACAAAGACACCAGGACAAATCTGCCACTTCTCCCCATTGCTCCCATTCTGCAAGGCAGCTCTTTGCTGGTGATGGGGAGAGATTTAGTGCACCATTTAACTGCAGCAGTGTAAAGTCAAGTGTCCCTCTCTGAGATATGATATAATCCTGCAACACTGCCATCCCTCACACATTTGGATGTTCTGCATCCTTTCATGAAGGTGCAGAGAAGCGATTATGCTCTGCACTTTAGAACCATGGACTAGCTGATGGACTCTATGTTGAAGCAAGCCTTCAAATTGTGTACAATGGTTAGGGTAAAACTGAGATGTAATTTAATGTAACACCAGGCTTCTTCATATCAGTTCCTACTTTAAAAGTAATCAGTAATAAAACATGGAGATTACATGAGAAATTTTAATTACTTTATTTGTTAAACTTTCATGGGAAACAGTTTGATACAACAGCATTAACATTCTCAACAGCTGAGTGTCACAAATCTCTTGACTTAATATAGAAGCAATTTTCTTTTTGTAGAGAGGAGAGAAGATGAAGGCAAAACAAAATGTTAGAAAAAGACACTGCAGGCAAAGGCACCTTGCATGTAATTCACTTTTCAAGGAGAGGATGAAACAAGATACAAGGAAACCACACCATTAGTCATATCATCACATACTACAAAGCCTTCAGACTACCCGTGAGTCAGACACTTGACTAGGTGGGATGCACTGGTACTGCTTGCAGAAGCCTGACATGCTTTCTGCTAACAGTCTTGGCTCTTAATGGCTTTCTTCCTAGAGCTACATTAAAGAGCAGGTGAGTTTTTTGGAAGCTTAGATGGTGTCTATGCAACTGCAAAATACCCAGAGGAGAGAAGTCTTTGGAGAATGGCCCCAGAATTCTCATCATCACAGAAATCTCAACATTTCGTTCCACTTTCACTAATTCCGGATGAATAAGGATTGTATCCTTTACTCCTTTTATCATGCCTGAAAGGAGAAGATGATCAGAGAATACTATCAGAGAGGCTAGAAAATATGTTCAGAGGCTATAGATCCATTAACAAAGACTGATTTTTAAATGGATCACAGAGAAAGCAATAATGAAAAAAAAAAGATTATTTAAGTAAAAGGGTACTTCATGGATAACATTACTTTTATAATGAAAAAGGCAGAAAATCCACTATGTTTTACTAGATAGAAAAAAAAAGCAAGCTAACAGCAGGGAAGCCTCACAAGAGAGCTACAGCCTATGGAATTGCCAACATCATTTACAGCTGGGAAGAGTTGAGAGAGACATGTCAAAGTATAATTGTACTTCCCTACAGGGATGGGATAGTGAAAGAAAACTCTTCTGAGTGAAAGGAAGACTGCCTTGAAATGAAAGAAAAAATAATTAAAAGGGAAAACTTTTCCTCTTTACCTCAATAACTCTTTAGAAGTGCTAATGCTGAAGATGTGTAATATCACAATGTTATAAGGGGGGCTGGATTAGGGGAGTGGGTTGATTATTTTTCTGTTCCTTTGGGGAATTTTGTTTGTCTTGACAAAATTTCAAAAGTACTTGGAAACAATGCTAAAATAAAGGTTTCCATATTCCTTACAGGGAGATAATTGAACTACTTCAGTACTGACACATGAAATTTCTAGAACTGACTAGAACATAAGAAATGAAATATGGTCAGAAATTTTATAAAACGTGATGAAAATTTTGTTATCAGTCTTGGATTTTGTCAGAGGAGGGCACTGGAAGTAGGAAGATACAGAAGTACACGCAAATTTTATTATTTTCACTGGGGTACAATAAGTGCTTTCCTGGGTATATTTATCAGCTTGTTTAGAAGAAGCAGACAAAAGATTCAGATTCTTAGCACAGTAGTAGCTTATTTCGTAAGCACTCACCTATTCCTCTCCTCCCTTCTTACTAATACTCTAAGCTCCTGAGTCTTAGGCTCCTCATATGAATGTTGCTGTGTCCCATGACTTTGTTCTTTTGGTCTACTCTGCAGCAGCTCTTTATCTTTGTAGGTTCAAACACAGAGAATAAGCACTAAAATGTATATTAGAAACTTATCCTCTTATCTATATTTAAATGTGTTTGCTGAGGCATGGAGAGTGTGCTGTGAGATTTGGTCTCTTGCATTTCAGCCATAATAAATTTCAGTAGCTTTACAGAGCTCTTAGTTCCTGCTTACCTTAAAAACTATTGTAAATAGAGTTATTTAGAGGTAAAAGACTTAGGTACTGGACAGTACAACTGATCAGAGGGTAAACCATTATCTTTTGGTAATCAGTTTCAATAAGGATTTCCAAGAGTTCTATCAAAACTAGAATGAAATTAAACAGCTCTGTGACAAATTGCAGCACAGTTTAATCAATTAAACTTTTTTAAAGTATGCAGAGGTTTTGTTTGGTGGGTTTTAGCTGACAAGTATTAACATGAAATAAGAGCTTGATATTGTTCCTTTTTCCTTACATCTGATTAAAATAAGTCTTAGTGGTCTCCAGCCCAGCTTTTTTGAAAGCACTTTGCCTTGGCACTGATGATTTGTACTGGGTTGGCCAAGAAGATATTTTGTTCTCACATTCAATAGACATATTCAGTTTCCTTTCTCTTCCAAGGAAGTGTTGATGCCAGATGCTTTGATGTGGCTAAGCGTTTCCATTTCCAAAAGCATATAGCTGAATTTTATACAAAATTTCTGTTTTTTTCTAAGAAACCCACCAAAGTATTTTATTTAATGTTAGAATTAATCCTGTGATCCACACTGTTAAGTACTGTGGGCATTCAGAGCATCGGGTTTTCTTCCCAGTTTCCTGATTCAGGCACTAGATTTATTTATTTTAACATTAATCTATTTCCCTGTCTGTAATAACTTGTAAGTAATCTGTAGTCAGCAAGGAGAAATGGCCTTGGCATAAAAAAGAGGGTCATTCTAGCTACCTTTTAGTATGTTTAAATTCTCTTAAGTATATATTCTTTTAAAATTTTGGTGAAACAATGCTAAAACTTGGAAAAAGATAACAGTCATGGGCTTTTTTTCTATTTGATTTATCACCACTGGTAAGATCTCAATTTCTATACACATTTTTTTGCTGATTATAGGGGAGATACACAGGCTCTTAATACTTGAAAAGTATGGTCTTCAATTCTGCAGTAGAGAATATCTTTTGCTAAGCTAAGACACAATCTGTTGTGCAGTGTTAAATTGAAACATCAGAATAACATGAATTCAAGCTGAAGTGGTTTTGGCTTTTGGGTTGTTTTTAAAATATTCAGTAGCGTCATTCTATGTTTCCCTTGCATCTGTAATTAATGTGTATGCAGAGAACTGGAAACACAACAGCAGTATTTAAAACAATGCATCTGTTAAACAATAATAATTTAAAGAAATAAAAATCTGTGCTTTTTTCAATCCCAGAGTAAAGGTCTTCAAACAGACATGTCAGTACTAGACTAATGACCTTGGAAAGTAGGGCAGCCGTCAGTATGACGTTTCCATCGCTGAGAAAACATAGTAGAAAACAGTTGATACCTATGCCATGAAATACATCGAACCATTTCTAAAAGATTGGAGGAAGGGAATGAAGGGGATCCTTCTTTTGATTCTCACTTGCTTCCTAAGCTTCCAGTTGCATTCTTGGTCTTAAACTCTGTACACAGAGTTCACAGAACTCAGTTCTGTTAGCTCTGGGCTAAGACATTAAATGAGTGGATAATTTGCATGCACCGTCCTTTCCTGTCAGAGGTACGACTGGTTCACACAAGCTCTTGTGTTCCAGGAGGTGATGCACAACTTTTTACATATTTTTCACACGTACCCCATAGTTTGTCACATCACTACTCTGAAGATATTGCTGTTGGAACTAGCTAGGAAGAAGGATGCCAACATGGAACATTCTCCAGGGCCACGTGCCAGAATATCAGAATATTAGTGCCATTGGTCTCTGTATTTCCCTCTCTCAGACAATACAGGAAATGTTCCTTATTTCAAAATTTTTGTTTGGACTGACTAAAAATGAAGTTCTGTTTAAACGTCCTATATCAAAGTCCCCATTTCACAGAAATTGACATAGACTTACATTTTCATAAAACACTAGTCTCTAAACTATGAAATCATATTACTTGAAAATATATTTGATCAATTATTTGCTGTGAAGCTGAATAAAGTAAGAGTAGAGTTCCCTTCCTTGTCCTAACAGGTGAACTTACAATAGTGTCTTGGTTTATTTTAAAAAAAGAAAACAAAACCTCTCAGAATGTGATTCTCAGGAAGAGATATAAGTTGCCCATCATAAAAAAAAGTTTACCTCAAATTGTCTTTACTATGCTGATTAAAATATTAAAATCCCACTAATTTTTAGCAGATGATATTTGGCTATTTTGGGTGTTTTAGTTTTTTTCATAGAAGTCCCACAGGGAATATTGATGTTTTTTATTTTAATTTGAGACTAGGTTAATATTTGAATCTTATAATAGTCTTATAGTAGTTCTGCTAATGAAGAAGCATACAGACTGGACACAGAACCATCAGGTTAGTTTCTCTCATTTCATGTAATTTGTCATATCAACAGCTCAGGGAAAAAGAAGAGACAACAACCACGCAACCCCACACACACTTTTGTCTGGTCAGAGTCATGCACAAAACACCAGCGATCTCCACACGGGACGTCAGAGCCTGAGCTTTGAACAGTTTGGTGCTCATTCACAATGTCATCTTCTGCACCGGCCAGACAGTTTAATTTTACAGCCAGACCACAATTTCCAGTACTCCTGGGCAGAATCTCAACTGTACTGAAGTCAAGCTTGCTGTGCATGTAGTGACAGATGGTCACTGAATACATTCTGAAGCTTTCTAAAATCTGTATGGTACTCTGTCCCCGAGAATCCATTCTTGGCACTGGCAAATGCCTAGAACCAGTAATATATGACATACAAAAGTATTTGGAAGCCCTACAAATGACCAAATGGGCTATTATTCAATATACAGCATAACAGAAAAGACTACTTTGAAAAGTACACTTTCATAATGTGAATAAAAAACTGTAAGAAACAATGAAAAACAAGTTACTTAAACTGAAGCATAAGAACATAAACGAGGCAGCCACTTTTCCCCCAAAGCACTGTGATCAGAACTCATCTTGCCCTTTCTTTGCTCAGAAAATAAATATGTATATTTGATCTTTATAAATGAGACAAGAGAAGTCTATCTTCTGTAAACAATAGGAAAAGTGCAGAAGCAAATTCTGTAGTCACCAAGGACGTTACTGAAGATTTCTGCTATCAAAAACATCCCACCAGTACAAATTAAATTATCTTGGATACCCAGGCTATCCTGTAACAAATATGACAAATAAAAGATTAATGGGGTGAATCTGACACACACATTCAGGCTTCCTCTAATTCCTTGGCTCAGATCCTTGTGGCAACAAACAGTAATTTCAGCATGGGCTATAAAATCTAAAGTAGTTCTCAGCAGACAGAGCTCTTTCATTAAGATTATGTTAGACTAGTGGAACCTGAGCTAGGTAAAGGTAAGTCTACAAAAGTACAGTGATGTATCCACATTCTGTCACCCTGAAAACTCAGCTTTCTGAGCTTACTGACATAGTTTCTAAAGACTTTCCCAGGACAGTAACTGTAAACATAGATATGTGTACATTCTTTCTGGTACACATCTTTTGATGGACATCTCCCACGCCCAGTACAGTTGGGAAGGTGTTATCCTGACCATCCAATCCCTGGCCATGGTCAGAAACCTATAAATTCTGAGAGAAGAAATAAAGCTTCCTCTTCCTTTCACCACAACCCAAGCTGTGTTCGTGTGACCTGTTTCATGTCCAGCAATGACAACGTTCTTCAGAATAAAATCACAAAGAAATAAAAGTACCACTGCATCTCATGACCAGTTTCAGTTACTCATGCAGACAAGGATTGATAATGTCTTGAGAACAAATGCATTCCCAAATAAGGATTAAATAGATATTTCTCTTAATCAAAAAATATAGTTTGTGTAAAATATTCCAAGTTCTTGATTGAGGAGGAGAAATTAGATGTGAAAATATGTCAGCTTGAGTCACACTGGAATAAACCTTACCAGGACAAAGTATAACAAATGCAGCTTCAGAAGTTTGAGATTATTCTCAGTTTTAATAAGTGATTTGAGGACTAAAAGACTGAGGTTACAGTTCTGACACAGCTTTGTTCGGTGAAGGCAATGTTAATGAAAAGCAAAAGAAAGTTATAATGAGTAGTTTCCAGGTTTTTGTTCTCATATTTAGAATTTGAAAACACTATATGAATAATTTTGCACGTCAGTATATTCTTTTTAATTCTCTTCTATGAAAGCAACACACCTACCCATCTTTCTACACACATATAAAGGACTTTCAAATAATAAAATAAGTGTGTTTACGAAGTTCTTTTGTGTCTTTCCTATTTCTGTATTCTTTAAAATTTATCTTAAATGTCTTTTAAACATTTGTATGAGCAAGCAGAAGGTACTTGTCACAAGTATGGGTGTATCTAAGTCATATGCTTATATTAGTGAAAAGGGGATTTGAAACATCATTCTAAACAATTAAAATACTCTTAATCAAATATCAACATACAATTTAAGTATCTGGATAGTCATATAAGCTGAATTCTTCTTGCACATTAACCAAAATTTTGAATAGTTATTTTCACAAAATATTTTTCATCTTTGCAACATTACCTTAATGATTGTTTATCATACTACTTACAGCATTCTAAGATTTTGTAAGACCCACTGAAATCCCTAACCTTATAACATGTTATAATTAGGAAAGTATTCAAAAATAAAAATATCCAGTGATATTTCTTTTAATCCTGTTTTGTCCAATTAATGACTCTGAAAGCAGGTTTTTGTCATGTATTTCCACATAATTCATGCTAAACAAGTTTTGGCTTACATGTGAGCACATTGAAGTTAGTACTGTCAACCCAGTCAAATATGTAAGACGATCTCTACAACATTACTATCATACCTACAGAAATCTAGTATAAATTATGGATTGATATTGTAGAAAAAGTGAACATAAGTACAAGTCAATATTAGCTAGAAAGCAGAACTTGATGCAATGGAATGTAGAAATAATAGAACTCTGCTTGCATTGTGTTTTAAAGAACACAATGGTTAAGGTTATGGTATTTTCAGTTAAGCTAAAGACTTTATAAATTCATATGTTCATACATTCATATTTTATAAATTCAATCCATTGTCATGGACAACTCTTCCAAAACACTTATACAAAAAGAAATAAAGTGTTTAAGAATTCAGCTACTTGTTACACTTGGAGTTAGTATGTGAGAGTAGTTTTCCACTGTTAAATAAACATGGCATAGGTGCATAATCAAACTGAGAAGACAGAGAGTATGTGTATATTTAGGGCTACATTTTATTTTATTCAGATTTTCTCTTTTACTGCAGTTAATTGAAAAGAATTCTCTTCCTGGTTGGTCTATTGCCTGCACATAAGCTGCACATATGCTGTATTTTCTCCAAGAAATACTAGCCAGGAATTACTGATTAAGAACTTGTCTTCACTTTTCCTTGTGGCTTGCTACTGCTTGCATTTAGAACAAACAAGTATATTTCTTAGCTTGGTTTCCTAAGAAAGTGATATACCATGACCTTTCTCTAGCTGCTTTTTGGCTCTTTTCAAGAAAAAAGAAAATCCTACCGTTTTTAAAGTCATTGTCCATATACAACCATTTGACATTGGTAAGAAACTCTAGACTCGATGAATTTTCACTTATTTAATCAGAACAGCAGTAAGACAGGTTCAAGTGACCCTGTTACTGCCCCCACTGAAGGAACATCTAAAGCAGAAACAACAGAGTTACTGGATCATTCTTCATTCATTCAGAGAAGAACCAATATGTTAAACACAGTGGGATCTTAACGCTTCATTTTTTGGTTTG